TATATTAATATGTCACCAAATAATTGACTAAAACACAATGTTTTGCAATGAAGATCTATAGTAACTTCAACATCACTCTCTGGGGTAGCACCATGGTGTAGCCGGAGGACAGCTAGGTTCTGTCCTCCTCTGGGTACAATGACTTCAATACAAAACCTAGGAGGCTCGTAGGCCTCACCCCCTTCCATAGACCTACATGGTAATTATGACCACTTCTGGAGGATGTCCTCCAACCAATCAAAGCTTTTTCAGTATGAACTGACATGTTGTCCATCCAATCATAGGATTAGGATCAGAGAATGAACCTAGTGTGTTGTATTGGGGTTGTGCCGCAGAGCATTATGGGAGAATTCAATGTGTTCAGAAGCTTGGTGACATTATTGGATAGAGATTGAAAAGTGATAGTTGAGCATTTTTTTGATATTATTCCATTCAAATTAGTTTCTTCAAATTACAGGAGATGGAGGAGGTAGATTATAAATTGGTTTTATAACTTAATTTTTGTGTCCAGTTAGTGCAATTTATTTCAATTTGCCTTGCTAACTTCATTAGCAAGTAGCATTAGCTAGCTCTACCAGCTTGAGTGTGCAACTTTCGCCGCCAACGCAAACAGCAAATGTTGTTTACTTTTTGTTGAAGAACCCCTTTCATTCTCCGGGGTACACGGAAAAGGTGAGAATTAAAAACGAGGGTCGACCTCTACCTGAGATCAGTTTCATGAAGAAGGATGAAAAGGTGAGGGCGTTCAATAACAATTGGTATCAAAAGTATAGCTGGTTAACAGGGAGCCTTTTATCAAGCCGCATGTATTGCTGGCCTTGCCTGCTTTTTGGAAAGTCTGAGCCTTGGGCGAAAGAGGGGTACAGTGACCTGAAGAACATCGATCGTTCAGTTAAACGGCAAAACAAAAGCAGGGAGCATATACATTCCCACATCAGATTGAAGCTTTAATGACGAAGGTCTGCGTATTCAAACTGCGCAACACAACGAGAAAGTAAGAAGAAACAGGGATGTTCTCAAGTGGCTTATCAACACCACTGTGTTTTTGTGCATGCAAGAATTGGCTTTTAGAGGACACGGCGAGAGGGAAAGTTCCACTAACAAGTGCAACTACAAGGAACTTGCAGCGGTAATTGCACGTTATGATACTTTACTTGCTGAACATATGGAACTTTGTACTGTCTTTTCTGGGATGTCGAAATCAATTCAGAATGATTTGATAGCTTCCATCGCATCATCCATTAAAAGTTAGATTAAAGAGAAAGGTTAACGCAGCGCATTTTTTCGTGCACGCTCAAGTAGGCTTTCCACTTTCCTTCTGTATTTATTTAGCAAAGATGATAGATAACACAATCACTCCGGACAGACACAAGCAAAAACTAATTACATACATGTTGCAGCAGCCTAGGCTACACCTTAACATTAGAGATCAGACCAGGGGCGGTGTGTTCATTAGGGCGATATGGGCGACGCACTGCCAAACGGGAAAAGGAAGGGATTTTTTTTTCTAATCAATTATATCAGGGCAACAGTAGTTATCAGTGTTCTAATCTAGACGTCTGATCTGCCACTAAATGTCCAATCAGGCTAAAGTCGTGCTTCAAATGGCCCCGCCCCTTTTGGGGTGATTTCAGTCAGGTTGAAAATCGCCCAGGAGTCTCTCATAGACTCTCATGTAAAATCTTTTTTTTTTCAAATATCAGAGCTTTCAATACAATCTCTATGGGTTCCGGGAGGGCTTGCACTTATGCGCTTTCGTCATACGTAACATAAGTAACCATGAACATAACTAAGAAAAGAGCGGGTAGCAGCGTCAATCAATTCACGTACTACTGTCAAGATGGCTAGCTTTGCGAGGCAAAGATGAAACTGAGGGCTCCACCAACCCTGGTATTTTTCTTGGACTTGTCAACTTTGTGGCACAATTAGATGAGGTGTTTGATGACCATCTTAAAAATGCTAAAGTTTTCAAGGGCACATCAAAGACCATTCAAAACGAGCTACTGGAGTGTATGCTAGCGGTCATGAGGGAACATATTGTGGAGGAGGTGAAGTCGGCAAACTTCGTAGCTATCCAAGCTGACGAGACCACGGACGTTTCTACACAGACACAGCTGGTGCTTGTGCTGAGGTACATAGATAGCAACCACAAAGTGCAGGAGCGCTTTTTTGAGTTCCTTCCCATCTCGGAATCAACCTCAGTCTCAATCGCCAGTGTGCTTTTGGAGAGACTGAACGGTCTTTTTGCCGACGACGAGAAAGTCAAACTCATTGCGCAAGCTTACGATGGAGCCAGTGTGATGAGGGGAGAGAAGGCTGGTGTGCAGCAAAAGGTGCGTGAGCATTTCAAGAATGCCCATTACGTGCATTGCTATGCGCATCAGCTGAATTTGATCATGCAGCAAGCTAGAACAGTTTCAGTACAAGTAATGTAGCCTCTCTCTCTCTTTGTCCCTCCCTGTCTGTCTCTTTAACACACACACGCCCAAATCAGTTCACAGTTGATGTTGTTTAAAATAGTTATTTTTCATTTTTTTTAAAGTAAAAAAATAAATAAAATCTGTTCATGTTCATTTTTACAAATCTATACAATTGGCCAGAATATGGTTGTTCATATTTACAAATCTATACAATTGGCCAGAATATGGTTGTTCATTTTTACAAAGCCATACAGATAGCTGTGTTTACCTTTTCTATAAATTATTTTCAAATTCTGTTTTCAGGCAAAATGTCTATCACTGTTCATTTTCACAAATCTATACAAGAGGGCAGAATATGGAAGTCTATAAACATTTCTTATTACCAATAACTTGCATCAATGTTGTCAGTAGCCTCTATCAAAAGCTCCTGCTTGCTTGTTGTGAATTATGCTCAGGTGCACATATTTCCAATTCAACCATGAGGCCTTTTTGAAGCAAGTAATGTGTATATCAGTATTGACTTATATGCTGCCCCTGTCTTCATGTTGTTGCTGGACATATCTTTTTTAAAATGTGTGTAGGTCACCTAAATCATCAGAAAAATTGCCCCCCCTGAGAATTTTTTCAGGAGCCGCCACTGGATCAGACATGCTGTATGGGATGAAAACGAGACAATTTTTCAGTCTGATCAATTGTAGGCTACTAATAAGAGCAGATGCATACAGCCTATGTGCGCTGTCCATTTGGTCAGGGTAACTAATTGGTAATGTTAGGTATTTATAGTCCATTGGTGTGTCAGGAGAACATGTGAATGTGATCAAATTTGGTTTATATTCAAAATTGGGCTGGCTAGGCGTCCTATACGTTTTCAATCCAAATGTATTAACTGGAATTAATCAATCAACATAATAGTAATGACAGACCTGAGTTAATTTTTTATAAGGCCTACAGTTGCATAGGCCTGCATGATGCAAACATGCATAAAGCAAGCTCACAGGGCTGCCAAATGTATGCACTCACTGGATGTAAGTCGCTCTGGATAAGAGCGTCTGCTAAATGACAAAAATTTAAATGTCTATATTTTGTTGTCTCTGTGTCCGGGTAGAGGAAATCCCCTCCCTAATCTAGTCTAAATACATTTAATATGAACAAGTATAAGGTTGCTGGAGTTTGACTGGGTTTTCATCCCCCCCCCCCCCCCCCCCCACCTCCCCCCAGGGCCAGGAGTTTTTTTCAGTTTTTTTAAAACCATGTGACCTGATTAGGAAAAACTGGTCCCATCATAGCCCTTATAAAACCTTTTTACAACTGATTAATCACTGTCATACCTTATAGGGTCCAGAGTTTTCCTGGTTAGGTTAACAGATAAGGAAAAACTCAGGGCCCCAGGGGGTAAAGATTGCCCCCCCACTCTGGGACCTATGGTGCCACCAGTCTGCTTGTAGTTGTCAGTTATTGTCAGGTATGTGGATGATCAGGACTTTATTCAGGAACGTTTCTTGAGCTACTTTGATGTGTGAAGTGGGCGAGATGCGCAGTCTGTGTTTAACTTCATGGAGAAACTTGTTGTTCAACCTACGATGGCGCAGCTGTAATGGAATGTATCTGCTATTTGTATTTACAGCTAGGCCTAAGTCCCCTCCTGTTCCCTGATTAAGAGGTGAAGACAGCTCCACTCCACTACCATTGTCAACTCTCTCCTGACATGAACTGAAGCCACGTCTCATGTGCCCGCTCTTCCACTGGCACATTGAATGTTTCCTCTCCAAGCACTGTGAGTACCCCTATCAATTTTCTCTCATTACTGTATGTAGAGTCAATCACACACACAAGCACAATCCCATTATTACACGTCAACGATTTTGCTCCTTGCTTAGACGAACTCATTCTTAGCTCTTTTGTCTGTGTTGTGTTATTGTTTTTTGTCTTCCCAGTCAAATCCTGTCCTGCACTGAAGTCAAGCCTCTGAACACCTCAACTAATGCCTCATTCCCTCATTCAATCACTGCTGTGATCCCTTCCCAACACTGTGTAAGTAGCCCTCTCATTCCCATTCCCCATAATATTGTACTATAAATGTCTTTATTAAATGCTTTAGGTTAAAATAATTACTCTTTGACGATTTTTGAAACACACTTTGACGTCTCATAGCCACCAGAAACAGAGAAGGGGAACACAGTCTTTGGTCTGGGTATACTGTTGAGCTAAGCAGGGGATCAGATCAGGAATGGTAGAGGAGGATGATGTTACGCTTTGATTATCATCCACCCTTTTCTAAGGGGTGTGCGTGTGTGCGTGTCTCTGTCCCTGAATGCGTATGAACATGTCTGCGAGAAACAATTATCATGGTCCTTCTCAATCTCAGCGACTGCCAACACTTTTATTATGACTACTAAAGTATATGCGTTTACCTATCAATCTAAAATGCAACAAATGGATAGAGAGCCTAATGTTCTTCCGTATGAGATCAGGTCTGAATGGAGGCTGAATGGAGGGGGTGGGTGGGTGGGTGGGTGTGTGTGTGTGTAACAACCCCTAGGCACTAGATTAGGCACTTCCTGTAGATGGGATAAATATTGTTTAAGGAATATGATAATAACTTAACAATTCCGTCTTATACTCACCCAGGTTGCAGGCTTGGCTGGTCAGGGCGTAGAGCTGCTGCTGATAGGCCCATTCCTCATCGTTGGGGGCGGAGATTACAAACAGGCGACGCCTCCAACGGAACCTGAGAACCCAAAGACGGAAGTAGGATGAAAGATGTAGGAAGATTAATACACTTTCTGTCCAAAATCCAGACCCTTTGCTCACTGTCATCAGACTGGAATTGAGTCTCTATGGCAACAAACCACAGTCAATCTGTTGAAGACAGAAATATAGGACCATAGTCAATCAATCCAAGACAATGGTGTTAGCGTAGAGTTCTAGAAGTACAAGCTCGCGCACACTGTCCACCATCAGAGCCAAGTTTAGCTCATAAAGAACAGTTGAATTTGTGGTCCAGGTGATATAGTGTGAATATTCATGTTGACTATAAATTCTGACCACAGCCTCCTCAACCAGACCCCTGCCTGGTTTGAGACAATATTCCCACTGGCTATGGAGCCAATGACTGTTTAAAATTCCAGCCACTGCCACAGCCATCAGCAAGAGCCACGCACACACACTACCTCGAGAGGAAGTTCTCCAGTGATCTGGGTTTGTCCTCCTTCTTGCAGACCACTCCGTCTCTCTTCTGCTGTTCCATCTCTCTGATGCGAGTTGAGAAGGTGTCGATGTAATCAAACACAGCCTTCATGGCGATGGGGACCTCGTAGGATTGCTGTTAGAGGGAGAAACACACATCATCAAGACAGAAAAAAGACAGTGAACCAAAAAGATAAGCATTGGAGTATTTGAGTGTACAACAACTATTCAATTCTTCAAGTGGTCAGGAGAAAAACGTTACAATGCTATTCCTTTGTGATACCCATCCCAGTATTCCTAGAAAATCCTGTATTCCTGAAAAATCGGTATGCAAATGAAATAAGACACTGAGCCATGTGTTCGAAGAGACTCAGACTCAAGTGTTGTGAGTGTTATATCTAATTCTAGTAGGGTTAACACCAGTGGGATTGAAATTGACACCACCTGCGGTGAATAAATGAAGTGTTAACCAGGTGATGGTGGTACTCGACTGTTGAGTTAATTTCCGTGAACTCAGAGTGAAAAAGACATGGGAGGGGCTACATTATCATATTTCCCAGCATGCTTTGTTGCTGGTTGCTTTTTGGAATAGTTTTAATATCTATGTTTCTGCATGCACAATGATTGATTAATTGATCTTATACTACACAAATGTTTCTATACTAATCCAATCTGTAAGTGGTTGGATTTATTTAACCCGTTATTGAGATGGTTTAGGTAGTCTCATTTATCAACCTTTCCTAACATGGCAGTCATTCTAACTGCAGATTGCAGGTGATTAAAAGTTAAAATTCTTCAATATCCTATGGCTGGATTTGAATAGAAATTATGTAACACTTTGGAAGCCAGCATAATATGACTTGTTGATGTGGCCAGCAAACCAGGAGTTTCAGACAACTGTGTTAGGGTAAAACTAGGCTGTTGAAGTATGGTATTGTCAAAAAAAGTAATTTATTGTGATAAATAATTATATTTTGATAATAAAATATTCATTTAGGCACTCACAGAACGCTACGGGACTAAAGCCATCGAATGCAACAATCATGTCTCTGTCACTAACAAACACAGTCATGGGTGGTACAGGTACCTCTAAAATTAACTTGAGTTGCATCAAATAAATATGCACCCAAAAACGAGTTACTGTAACACCACAAGTGTTAATTCCCTAACACTGAGGAAGTGTAACAGCATCAGCCTTAATAAAGTGTTAATTTAAGTCGGAATTTGCAACACCCACAGTGTTAGGAGACCCAACACTCTTGGGGTGTTAGTTTATCAACACTTTGAAAAGTGTTAGTTTAACACTAATTCAGTGGGACACATATACACACGTGTATATGTGACCCACTGCATGGTGCTTGCAACGCCAGGGTTGTGGGTTCGATTCCCACGGGGGGCCAGTATGAAAAAATGTATGCACTAACTGTAAGTCGCTCTGGATAAGAGCGTCTGCTAAATGACTAAAAAGTAAGAATGTGTTACATTTAACACTGTGGGTGTTAGAATTTGCTCGGTTTAGAATGTGATATTTCCCAATGCAGCATATTTTTTAGGAATCGCAGTGATCCCAGCATGAAAATATTATTTTATAGGGCACAGTTTATGAAAATACACACTCACAAAAGCACAGGCACGCACACACGCAGGCATAAACACATGCACATAAACTTTCTAATGGATCAGGTGAGGGTCTGCTGCCATGGCTACAGTCTCCCTCAATGTTTTTCACATTCTCTCTCTCTCTTACCCACACCATGTGCCCTGTAATGTTAATAGAATTTCCTGTCTGTACTGAAAGCATTAGAAGGTTGCTTGCACACTGGCGTCTTTGTTTAATCCGTCTGAAAACAGCCTGGTGATTTACACACACACACACACACACAGATACACACACACACAAACACAGCTGTTGGGTGGACGTCATGTTGTGTGAATTAAACCAGTGTTTAATGACGGGAGGATGTTTACAGTATGGTGAAGGCAGGTCAGCCATCATGAGTCTGGGTCTAATGGGCCAAACAGAGAGGTTAGGTGTATGTGCTCCATTTAGCTCACTTGGCAAGATGGTTGGGTCAAGTAGTAGACTTTAGTTCTAAATGGAATAGTCCAAAAAGTGCGGACTCTGGTGTGCCAGATTAGCTAAATAATACACACCTAGTGAGAATTTCAGAGAGACAGAGAAAAAGGGAGAGAGAGAGAGAGAGAGACGAAACCCACCTTGGCTCTCATGTCAGTGTCAGTGAGAACCATGTAGAAGTCGTTAAATGTCATATAGAACTCCTTCCTTAGCTCTGTGATCAGATCCTGGTTCACCAGGTCCTCCTGACGAAGACCCGTCATAGGCTTGTCGTTCTCTGGGAGGTGGAGAGAAAGAGAGGGGAGGAAGGGGAAAGAGAGAGGTGGGAAGGAAGAGAGAGGGGTGAAGGAATAGAGAGAGAGAATTGAGAAAGAGACAACCATTTACAATTTAGTTTAGTTTAGTACAATTTAACAGACTCTTATCCAGAGCAACTTACAATAATGAGTGGATTTTCAGATAAGGAAGCTGAAACAACCACATAGTACAACCAGAGCCATGGGGAAACAGGGATTGGACATCCCACTTCCTACCAGAGGCTGGATGGGTTGACACATGACTGACCAGAAGGTGTGTTTCCCTCATAATATTTGGAAAGGTGGAGTCATGGCCTTATTAGCTATTATTGGTTACACCTATCCCTGTCTTTTCAGCTCTGCAAACATAGAGGTAAGGTAAGGAGGGGACTACTAGGGGAAGGGACTAGGGGTTGATTTTGGATGAGCATCTCTGAGGTAAAATAACCTCCAGGCAGAGATCTAACACCCAAAAGGAGGGCAATGGTGTGTTTACTCTAGGCTTACGCACACACACACACTGAGGCCCTCTCTATTACAAAACATTGGCAATATTCTGTCTCAAACGGAGTGAGGCGGAAGAAGCCAATCTAGATTGTTTGTTTTATTTTTATTTCCTTCAAATCTTCAGAATGTCTTGCTCCCTTTCAACATGGTTATTCCTTCTAAAAAAAAAAGAAAAATCTACCATATTTTTCTCCTCATTCCTGAATGTTTGTTGAGGCAGTCCTGTTTGCATCTCTGACTACATTCCAGATCTCTCTCTGTTTTCTTTTGTTTTGACTGGAATCCCACCCAAAAGACCACAGCTCTCTTCAACATGAGGGAATGACGGAGGCCATTTGTTGACTTACTGTATGTTTTGACTGGAAACCCATCAGTCTCCACACCAAGGAGGTTTTTTAAAACGAATGTTTCCTGATTTTATAGAGATGATAGGGACTCCAAATGTCTGAAATACAGTATGTTACTGCTTTATAATATAAACAGAACTGGTAACCCTTTGAAAGCATACAGCATTATATTTGAAGATGTTTTCAATCTACATCTATCCCCCTTTCTACAGAAAACAAATGGTGTCTTCCTATGGATTACATATACTGTATCTAGCTCCATGGTTTCTAAGGCAAAGCGGTGATCCATCTATCTATCCTGAACAGGAATATACTCAGGCAGGGAGATGGCTTGATCACATGGCTAAGAGGAGCTACCCAAGCTAGCACATTTGGTTCCTTGGAAGTTGTGGGAACGTACGTTTTTGTTTTCCCATTGGTACTGGGAATGAAGCCATAAGTTTCCTGACTTTTTAGGATGCAGGGAGGTTCTGAGAACATTTCACTATGGTTCCCTGAACGTTTTCTTGGGAAGTTTTCTTACCGTTCTGAGGACGAAAATTATAGGTTATTTGAAGGTAATTCAAATGATGTTCTGAGAACATGTTTCAATAAGACTTTTAATAACACTCCTAGCTTAGGTTAACTGTTTTGAACTCCAAGCACAGATAGGACACATGGAAATGCATTAATCAGGCAAACACATTTCTATTTTATTGAGGCAAAGCATCAGTGAGATTCAAACCTATGATCTTCTGTTCTCTGTCTATGGAAATAGTCCACTGCGCCACCAGGATGGAGCTAGCATGCCGTGTTTCTTTAACTCATACAAAGCTGTTAATTTTTGTCTATTCAAACGGATCCAATTTCAAAGGAAAGAAGCACTCATTAAGATCAGCTGTGGACAATTAGTGGGCACGGCCAACAAACCTGGACACACTTAACAAGATACATCGAGGATAGAGAACTATAAAGCAGGACCTCAAGAGATGAGACAGACAGAGACACATGCAATCACACACACAGCGAGGTAGTCTGAATCTACTCCAATGTAATAAAATAACCAATGTATTTTTCTAGTTTATTTTTATTTTTTATCGTACTTTATTTGAATAAAATGGCAAATAAAATATTTATTCTTTATTCGTTACTATTTATTATTTACTTTATAGACTGGTTAGCTGAGAACTTCACGAAAACGAAGCACAAGCTTCAATGGGGGAGAAGGCCATGTGTTGGTCCTCTGTAGCTCAATTGGTAGAGCATGGTGCTTGTAATGCCAGGGTAGTGGGTTCAATCCCTGGGACCACCCATACGTAAAAATGTATGCACGCATGACTGTAAGTCGCTTTGGATAAAAGCGTCTGCTAAATGGCATATTATTATAGAGAGAGTTTTGTTGACACTTAGAACGGAATGTACAGGTATATGTTTTTAAATAACATTCTTAGAATGTTCTTTGAATGTTACTAATGTTTTCTTGTGGTTTTTATGGAAAGTTTTCTTAATGTTCTGAGAACATGACTTTAAATAGAACCATGAGGAAACCTGCATAAAAAAGTTATGCTGAAGTACTGAAATTCACACAGAAGAATGTTGTTTCCTAACATTCTTTAAACAATTTGAGAACATTACTTTAAATAGAACCATGATGAAACTTGTAGGAAACCTTATGCTGAAGTACTGAAATTCCCACCTAAGAAACGTTATGTGCTAGCTGAGTATCCTGCACCATTCCCAGAACATTGTGGCAAGGTTGTATGCAAAATAACTATAGGATAACCACACTCTAAGAAACATATGGTTCTTAGAACATTATGTGCTAGCTGGGGCTGTAGCTACCACTTACACAGCCCACAGTTATAGCCCTTAATCACAGCACCCTGTACACAAACACACACACACAAACTGACCAATGCTTCAAAGTCTGCATTACACTCAAAGGTAAGGATGATGTCATCCAACACGGGAACCTTTTTCCAGCATACAGCTGTGAAAGGACCATTTATACACGCAAGCACACACACGCACACACGAACACACACACACATTAACCCTTGGAGCGATGCTCGGAACATAAGACTAACTACCGTCTGGTTCGTAACGTGGGTGGGGTGTGACATCACCTCAAAACTCTTTCTGGCATTCTGTCTGTGGAACCCTGTCATTGTGTAGAATCAGAGCGACTAATAAAGTTTTATACAGTAGGGCTGACATTAGCACATCCTAACTACAGGCTGGAGGTTAGGATTCAAATCTCCATAAAACTCTACAAATATTGTCGCTCGCCAAGCCCAATTTACAACACAAATCTCATAACACGCATTTGTAATCTTGAGCCATCTGAATAAGTAGCTTCGAAGAAAATCAACAAAAGGGAGTCTCTAATTCCTCTTGAAGATAAGCCATGTGAGCTAACCCAAGACACATGAGTGTGTGGTGAGCTGTGTGTTTGTGTGTGTGTGTGTGTGAGAGAGAGAGGTGACCTAACTCTCTCCAGTTTACACATTAGCTACAGAGGAAGCAGACTTTCGCCATTTCTACGATGATAAACTAGGAAGATATTCAGCCGGGATCACCCCCCACCATACACACACACACTGGCGGACTAACCATCAGGCAGAAGAGGCAATTGCCTCAGGCCTCACATTATCAAGGGGCCTCATGAGCTGGGCGTAAAAAAATATATAAAATATTACAATTATTTCTCTGCTTGAGGCCCCCCCACGCTTCGCTCGAGGCATAATACATAAATAAATCCACATCAAAATCTGTATGTTTACGTTAGAGATATGCATGGGCTGCGTCTTAATCCACCGCATCCCCCGGTGTCGGCCTTCCGCATCCCCCGGTGTCGGCCTTCCGCATCGGCGGTGGAAGGTGGCAAACCTACAGCGGTGTTTCTCAGACCAGGAGACATCTCGAAAATCGGTCTTCTCATGAAAACGTCTGTAGCGTCCGAACGGTTTGGCCTATAAATGAATATGACCCCTCTATGGAAAGACTCTCACGAACACAAAGCCCCTCTTCCGATCCGTGTGGGCACATGCGCAAAGCACTCGTGGCAAAGCAGTTTAAGCACCTCCTTCACGTTTTCCGTTTTTTGAACACAACCCCGTTCAGACAAAACACCAGCTGAGCTCTAGAGAAGGGCAGTAAGTTAGCTTTTATGTTTTGTAAACCTTGCTAACCTTCATCTGTGAGGACCTGCCTTCTCGGTCTTTGGCACTGTGTCCCCAACTCCCCATATTTATTGGCAGTGTTAAATCAAATAAATTCAAATTGTATTTGTCATATACACGTGTTTAGCAGATGTTATAGCGGGTGTAGCGAAATGCTTGTGCTTCTAGCTCCGACAGTGCAGTAATATCTAACAAGTAATATCTAACAATTTCACAACATATACCCAATGCACACAAAACTAGTAAGGAATGGGATTTAAGAATATATACATATATGGACAAGCAATGACAGAGCGGCATGGACTAAGATACAGTAGAATATTATAGAATAGAATGCATTATACACATATGAGTAGTGACTAAATGACTAAAATGTAGTGCAAGATATGTAAACATTATTAAAGTGACTAGTGTTCCATTTCTTAAAGTGGCCAGTAATTTCAATAGGCAGCAGCAGCCTCTAATGTGCTAGTGATGGCTATTTAACAGTCTGATGGCCTTGAGATAGAAGCTGTTTTTCATTCTCTAGGTCCCAGCTTTGATGCACCTGTACTGACCTCGCATTCTGGATGATAGCGGGGTGAACAGGCAGTGGCTCGGGTGGTTGATGTCCTTGATGATCTTTTTGGCCTTCCTGTGACATCGGGTGCTGTATGTGTCTTGGAGGGCGGGTAGTTTGCCCCCGGTAATGCGTTGTGCAGACTGCACCACCCTCTGGAGAGTCCTGTGGTTGTGGGCGGTGCAGTTGCCGTACCAGGTGGTGATACAGCCCGACAGGATGCTCTCAATTGTGCATCTGTAAAAGTTTGTGAGGGTTTTATGTGCCAAGCCGAATTTTTTCAGCCTCCTGAGGTTGAAGAGGCTCTGTTGCGCCCTCTTCACCACACTGTCTGCGTGGGTGGACCATTTCAGTTTGTCGGTGATGTGTACGCCAAGGAACTTGAAGCTTTCCACCTTCTCCACTGCGGTCCTGTCGATGTGGATAGGGGGGTGCACCCTCTGCTGTTTCCTGAAGTCCACGATCATCTCCTTTGTTTTGTTGATATTGAGTGAGAGGTTATTTTCCTGGCACCACACTCCCAGAGCCCTCACCTCCTCCCTGTAGGCGGTCTCGTCATTGTTGGTAATCAAGCCTACTACTGTTGTGTTGTCTGCAAACTTGATGATTGAGTTGGAGGCGTGCTTGGCCACGCAGTCATGGGTTAACAGGGAGTACAGGAGGGGGCTGTACTCACCAGGAAGTCCAGGAGCCAGTTGCACAGGGCGAGGTTCAGACCCAGGGCCTCGAGCTTAATGATGAGCTTGGAGGGTACTATGGTGTTGAATACTGAGCTATAGTCAATGAACAGCATTCTTACTTGTCCAGATGGGATAGGGCAGTGTGCAGTGTGATGGTGATTGCATAGTCTGTGGATCTATTGGGGCGGTAAGCAAATTGAAGTGGGTCTAGGGTGACAGGTAAGGTAGAGGTGATATGGTCCTCAACTAGTCTCTCAAAGCACTTCATGATGACAGAGGTGAGTGCTACAGGGCGATAGTCATTTAGTTCAGTTACCTTTGCTTTCTTGGGTATAGGAACAATGGTGGCCATCTTGAAGCATGTGGGAACAGCAGACTGGGAAAGGGAGAGATTGAATATGTCCATAAACACACCAGCCAGCTGGTCTGCGCATGCTCTGAGGACGCGGCTAGGGATGCCGTCTGGGCCGGCAACCTTGCGGGGGTTAACATGCTTAAATGTCTTAATCACATCGGCCATGGAGAAGGAGAGGCCACTGCCCTTGGTAGTGGGCCTCGTCAGTGGCACTGTGTTATCCTCAAAGCGGGCGAAGAAGGTGTTTAGCTTGTTTGGAAGCGAGACGTCGGTGTCGGCGACGTGGCTGGTTTTCTTTTTGTAGTCCGTGATTGTCTGTAGACCCTGCCACATACGTCTCGTGTCTGAGCCGTTGAATTGTCACTACTGAATGTCACCATCCTCACGGTAATCTGTGTGTTATAGTGAAAGCCTTTGTGCACCATTAACTTTCATGTCTGGCTTTGGCACTGTCACCACATTGTGTCTCACCAATGTGTGTCTTTGGCAATGGTAGTGTCATCATATTCACAGTGTTCACAGTGTTATTGTTTGAGCCTCTCTTATTGTTTGCTGCAGACTCACTCCAGACACCTGCTAGCCTTCTGTTCTATCAGAGGAGTTTAGGACAGCAGGGGTAAAATCAGGACAGGACAGTAACAGCAATACAGGACACCTACTGTACCTTAAGGGCTCTGTTCAATCCGTATCGCTGAAGTTCAGTGCTATAGCGCGATTGAAATCTAAAGGCAATGTTCCCGCCTTCTCGGACACTGCATTTACGGTAAACGATCCATATGTAGGCTGAATCAGAAATTACCTTTTAATTTCAAGTGTGCTATAGCTGATATGGACTGAATCGAGCCCTAACTCATTTGTGCGAGGACTTGTATGTACATGAGAAATCTATGTGGCCTTGACTGACCCAGTGGAGCCCGTTCCCAACCCATCCTTTGGGAAATCCTGTGACAGTGTATATACCCTGCTGGTAGTGTTAACCCTGTTCTGTCCTGTACAGGCTACGTGTAGTAATAATAATAATAATAATAATAATACATTATATTTATATAGAGCTTTTCAAGGACCCAAAGTCACTTAACCTTTTCCTGTAATAGTGTGTTAGTAGAGATATGTACATACCCAGCTGGTAGTGGTCTATCTTCATTGTGGAGTTGGTGAGAGAGCCAAAGATGGTGATGATGGAGACTTTCCTGATGGCCATCTCACACACCGTCTCCAGGTACTCATCCCTCTGCTGCACATACATAGTGCTCTCCTCACTGGGGGCCGTTATGATCTGGAGACACACACACAGAGAGAGACTGGGTTAGACTGGGTTACACACACACACTCACACACACTGCTGTGGAGATTGTGTTTACATTAGACAGCGGGGAGGGAGAGGATGAGGTCTGTATAACACCCCCCGGCCTCGGTAACACTGCTATGATAAGAATCTAGACAGGCTGCAAAACACTGGTACTTACCACAAGTCGTCTCCTGTTCTCAAAGTAGTCCAGAAAGGAAGCCAGGGAACCCTTAGGAGGTGGAGGCTTCTTGGTGGGTTTGTGGTACTCCTCTTTCTTTTGATTCTTCGACACCTTCTTTCCGTTCTTCTTCCCGTTGTTTTTTCCCTCCTTCCCCACCTTCGCTCCTCTCCTCTCTGCCTTGTCCCTCTTGGTGGCCTTTTCCGGTTTGCCGTTCTTTTTCTTTTTCTTCTCAGTGTTGTCGTGTTTTCCCTTGCCCCTCTTGGCTGGGCTGACCTCTGTGTTGACCTCTGTCTGTGTCTCTGGGTTGCTGGCGGTGGGCCGGCTTGATTCATAATTCTCCTCATACTCATTATTCAACACCTGGAGAGAGGAGAGAAGAGAAGAGAAGAGAAGAGAAGAGGAGAGGAGAAGAGAAGAGAAGAGAAGAGAAGAGAAGAGAAGAGAAGAGAAGAGAAGAGAAGAGAAGAGAAGAGAAGAGAAGAGAAGAGAAGAGAAGAGAAGAGAAGAGAAGAGAAGAGAAGAGAGGAGGGGAGGGGAGGAAAGAGAAAAGGAGAGAATAGGAGAGGAGAGGACTTTATTGAACACCAAAATCAAGCCTGATGCAACAGATTCAACAGAGAACAACATACAGCAACATTATGTCTAAACATCAATGTAATAAGTGAAATGTAATAAGTCAACTGCATACCTTCCCATTCTTCCTCTTGGTAGGTTTGCCCTTGGTGGGTTTGTGCTGGGTGGGTATCACTCCGGCCTGCTTACGGCCATTGTAATCCTTCCCCTCCTTGTCTGTTCGGTTGTCCCCAGACGTGGTGGTCTTGGGTGGGTACCTCACCCTGTCTCTCTCCTTGTCTCTGCGGTTATAGGCCTCAGGCGTGGTCCTAGTGGCAGGCAGCCAGTGAGGGGTGGTGTGGGCTTTTGTGGGTCTCTGGGTTCTGGTGGTAGTGGTGGTGGTCTGTCGTGTGATCATAGGACGTTTAGTTGTGGTTGTTGTAGTCCGTCTAGTCGTGGTCATTGTGGGCTTTGGTGTGGTTGTCGCTTTCGTTGTTGCCGTGGTGGCTTTTGTCGTGGTCGTTGTGGGTCTTGTTGTTATCGAAGTTGTCGTTGTGGTAGTTGTCGTTGGCCTCGTTGTCGTCGACCTCGTGGCAATGGTGGTGGTTGTCGTGGGTCTCCTCATTGGCTTCCTCGCCTGCGGCTTCCTCTCTGGGGGCGGGTCTACCTGTCCACCTGTTTCAACTTCCATCCCTGAGTCTCCGCCCCCCTCATCCACCTGGCCCTCTACTCCCGCCCCTTTACACTTCTGGACGAATCCCTTCTGTCGGATCTTCTCCAGCTTCCTCATTGGTGCCTGGTCGATGACCTCGTACATGGCCTCCAGCCTGACTGGATAGGGGTACCTCTCCTCCACTTGCAGGGTTTTCCTCAGGAGCACCATCCCGAACTTACCTGGACAGGACAGGGTGACAGATTTAATTTACTGAGTAAAGTAGACTAGCTAATGTGGCTTTGGCCACAAGCAACATGCAGAAAGGAGACAAACTCACCAAGCATGCTGTAAGCATCCCAAACTTACCTGTAAAGACTCAGATTGATGTTATTGCCCTCACAAATTCATTTTCACTGCTTTGTCAGCATAAAACATGCAGCAAACATGCAAATAGCCAACATCACACCATGCACCCCCATAACCCCCATTCCTAACACCAAGCAGGTGTTGACAGATCTGAATGGGCTAGGACAGGTGCAACCAACATGGTGATGGTTCAATCTAGCCCCCCACAGGGATTCTCTCAGATCTGCTAACACTGAAGGAGTAGGGCTAAGGAATGTTTCCAGATGGGCCAAGCCTACCTTTCTCCAGTTTGAGGAAGGTCATGAGGCGGGGTATAAGCATTGTGTCCAAAGGTTCCTCCATCACCTTCCCCTCGCTGGTGATCCGCCTCACCTTCCCACCCATCTCCCCCTCCTGGTGGAATATCACGATCTGCTGCACGTGCCGCTCTGCCAGTTCACAGTACACGTCTGGCTTCAGCAGTGTCATCATCAGCCGGTAGTAACCATCTGAGTCGTGCGGGGCAGAAATCACCAGGACACGGTTTTTCCCCGCAAAGCTCGCCAGGAGGTTAGGTGAGCCTGCGCTGCTTGGCATGCGAGTCTGTCTGGCCCTCGCCCCGGGAGTGGCTTCATCCTGAAACATGCCAGACTGGAGGGGAGCCATCTGCCCAGCTACCCTCCTCCCTGCTGCCAGTGCTCCGCCTCTCCTGCCCTGTCCAGACCCAGTCCTGGCCTGAGGAACAGAGACCTGGTCTGCCTGCATGTCCTCCCCGCGCCTGGCGCTGAGCCCGGATGGCACGGAGGGGGAGCCGGGTCCTGGGCGGGTTCCTCCCACGCCGACGGTGCGGTCTCTGCCCGCTGCGCTGAGCTGCAGGCGCCCAGTATTGAGTCTGGTGCGTCCGCGCAAGGGCAACCGTATGAGGTGGGCCTGTTTGTCGGCGTGTCCTGCCCACGCTAGCAGACAGAGCAGGGACAGACCCAGGACAAACGCTCCCCGCATTATGGTAAACTGTTAGTTACAATAAACAACCCGAAAGAGAGAAGAATATCCAATAGTGGACATGGGACCTGTGTGCGTCTTTAGAGCATTTATTTTCAATAAATAAGAAATAAAGTCCAGCGCAGTAAAAAAGAGAATGCACGAGAGAGGCCAACAGTTTATTATTGTGTTTCAAAGCATGCCTTTACTTTTCGCAGTGGAACACCAGGCAAACCCAAACCCCACTTCACCAGCCTGCTATCAACCTGAGAACCGCATGAGAGACTCACCAGAGAGGTTCTAAAATATCCAAACCAGGCACCCATTGACGGAGTCAGCAATTCCTGAAAAACATTCCGAGTATTTAGAAACCGTTATTCCAAATTTCCAACTTCAGCAGTCCAAATCACAACACAAATTAGGAAAAGACGCTGACTTTGCCCCTTCTGGAAAAAAATTTCATACCATTTATAAACTCCAAGTGTACGCGGCATTTTAACATCCACAAGTTAACAGATATACAGCACTATCTCGAAAATAAATCCGTGTTATTTTATTCTCGAACCTGACCATTGTTTAAAAAGATAGTTAATTCCAACTATCAAAATAATCAAACTAAAAAGTAGAGAGTTTTACGCATAGCAAGCCTCCTCCGGATTCAAGAGGAAAACCTGCACAGAGTGGCTCTTCTGTATGGGAAATGCGTCTCCCTCTCCCTTCTCCCGATTCCCCAAACTAAACTACAGAAGCTATCCCAGTAATGTTGACACCTTTACCCTGCCCTGACTCCGACTCTCCTCGCTGGCCCAGTGGCGCTATACCAGCCTGGTCTCATAGACTAGACGTAACATAGTAAATGTAAATCTACGAGAAAATACGTTTCTATAATATGTTATGTTTGGTATGGTTACATAAGACATAAGGCAAACACGAAAGGAGGGTGGTTAGTCAGAGCATATAACATGAACATCTAACAATCTAAAGGTTGCGACGCCAGGACAGCGGAGTCACTCACCACCTTCCGGAGACATTTGAAACCCCACCTCTTTAAGGAATACCTGGGATAGGATAAAGTAATCCTTCTACCCCCCCTTACCCCACCCCACCCAAAATTTAAAAAAAACAAAAAATAAAAATAAAAAAAACATTGTAAAGTGGTTATCCCACTGGCTATAAGGTGAATTAACCAATTTGTAAGTCGCTCTGGATAAGAGCGTCTGCTAAATGACGTAAATGTAAATGTGTTTGAATCTCATCATGGACAACTTTAGCATTTTTGCTCATTAGCAACTTTTCAACTACTTACTACTTTTTAGCTACATTGAAACTACTTAGCATGTTAGCTAACCCTTCCCCTTACCTTAACCATTTAACCTAACTCCTAACCCCAACCCTAACCCCTAACCCCTAGCCTAGCTAACGTTAGCCACCTAGCTAACATTAGTCACAACAAATTGGAATTGTAACATATTGTAACGACCCGGTATTGTGTTCTGTGTTCGTGGGTGTGTTATCGTTCTCATGGGTGCTAGCATAGGTTAAATATGCCAGGACAGATGGAAAGGTTGGGGGGGTATGATGGGTAATCCCGTTGGGTTTTGGAATGCTTAAATAGGGGTTACGGTCTCATCTCTCTCTCTTCTGTTCGGGACCCTTAACTTGACATGTTATATTTGTGTACGTTTGAGGTTTAGCGGCGTGGGCTGTGGCCTGAACAATAGCCCATTCAGGAATAAACCTGTGTTCTGCCTGTACACCTGGTGCCCGTCTCTTTTTTACTTTATGACCCAGCTGGGTCATTACATTGGTGTCAGAAGGGCTTTCGAACGACGGGATAGATCGAGATTAGGCGAGTTAGCTGTTTCAGTATAGGCCGTGGTTAGCTTTAGCGTGACTCGCATCTACGGTCATGGGGCGAGGCGGAAAATTAAGGAAGAGTCGGACAAAGTGTCCGTTGTGGGCTCGGGTGTACCCGGTCGGGAGGGTCAGGCGACGACGGCTGTAGAAGAGCTGGAGAGCCACATGGCGGAAGTTAAATTGTCAGTCAGCAAGATGGCAGAACGGGCGGGTTTTCCTTCAAACCGCTCGACCAGAACAGACGTCACGGCGACGGAGATATCGACGTCACCGCGTGCGGAAATGGCTGGGCCTCCTTATGTAAACAGAGATGGCAGCGCCCTATTGCCATTAGCCACGGTAGCGGCTAAACTTCCAAACTTCAATGGACAAGGTAAATGGGAAGATTTTTTCACTCAATTCGAGTTGTTGGCTAGAGCCGGGAGGTGGTCTGACGAGACGAAAGGGTTACAGCTTGCCCTGAGCCTGGCAGAGGAGGCGTCGGAATGCCTGCTAACGCTAGCCCCGGACGAGAGGGGCGACTACGGTGCGCTAGTGGAGGCATTGGGGGGCCGTTTCGGCAGCGATGCACAGCCCAACATGCTGCGGATTGAACTGAGTAACAAAAAGAGACTTCAGGGGGAATCATTAAAGCCGTTGGCAAGTGGTATTCTGAGCCTGACCAGGCGGGCTTATGCAACTATGCTGATTGGGGTGCAAGACGAGCTGGCACGGGACAGTTTTATTAGAACGCTCTCCCCAACCGAACTGGGTAAGCATGTTCAGATGTCGGACCCAGCATCTCTGCGGGCTGCAGTGGAGATAGCCAGGAAGAGGGAGCTGATCTGGGGTGAGGGAGTGAGAGTGGAGGTTGCCAGTCAACCAGAGGTGAGAGCAGCGGCGGCCGGGGTGCCGGGGGTCACCAAACCAGAGTGGGTCGACGAGTTGGGCGGGTTAGTCAAGACCGCTTCGCTTGTCATTGAGAGGGGATCCAGACAACATCGCAGTGTCAGCTCAACTCCCATTGTCTGCTGGGGTTGTGGCCAGCCTGGCCACATTCAGCGGGAGTGTGGCAGATTCTCCCATCACCAGGGAAACGACAGCGGGTTCTCGCGCAGGGGGCAGTGCAGGCCCACCCTTCCGCCCCCGAACCCACAGTAAGCAGAAGAGGTACCCACCAGCGCAGGCAAGAGGGTGGGGACCTGCTTCCCCAGGGTGTAGCTGCCACCGTGTTTCCTAGTCCGGTAGTTGTGGTGGGACGTACCACCATTGGGGACTTCTGCAATGTCATCGTCAAGGTAGAGGGGGTGGAATGTTTGGCCCTGGTCGACACGGGCTCTACAGTAACCCTGGTGAGACCAGACATACTACCTGTTGGGGTGCGGGTGGAGCCGACCCTTGTCCAGCTACGGACTGTCACAGGAGAGCTAGCCCCATGTTAGGGAAGTGTCGGTTGTCTGTGACTGTGGGGGGGAGAACTGTGGGGTGTCCGGTGTGGGTAGCAGCGGTACAGGACCCCTGTATACTGGGAATGGACTTTTTGAAAAACTGTGGGGCTCAGTTGGATTTAGCTTCGGGCACTTTGAGGCTGTCGGGGGGGACACAGTGGGAATGTCGCCTTCGGGAGGGCCAGCAGGGGGCAGGGCTGTCCCTCCGTCTTCCTCCAAGCTTGCCGAAACTCCACTGGTCGTCCCGGCTGCTCCCTTGGTCGTTGTGCCATCCCAGCAGCTGTCTCCGGCGGCAACGACCTTCACTCCCCATAATGGTGCAAGCACAGGCAGCCCAGTAGCCCAAAACACACTGGCTCCTTCACCCCATCAGCCCGACGGGGGGAAGGAGGAAGTTATCGACGCCGTTGAGGCTGTGTGGCTGAAAAACTGTCAAGGTCTGGATGAGAGACAACAGCGACAGTTAAAGCAGCTGCTGTTTGACTTTAAAGATAGCTTCACTTGGGGGGAAGATGAGGTAGGGCAAACGCACCTGGTTCAGCACGACATCGACACTGGGGACAACCAACCCATTAAAATTCGGCCCCGTCGCATTCCCCTTGCCAAGAGGGAAGCAGCAGCCACAGCTATTGCTGACATGTTGCGGGCTGATTTCATTGAGCCGTCAGATAGCCCATGGTCCGCGCCGGTCGTCATGGTGCCTAAGAAAGGGGGTAAACTTAGGTTTTGTGCGGACTACAGGGGCCTAAATTCTGTCACCACTAAAGACTCTTACCCCATACCGAGGATCGATGAGTCGCTAGACCACGTGAGAGGGTCCTCGTGGTTCTCCTCCCTTGATCTGCGCAGTGGCTACTGGCAGGTGCCCCTCTCGCCTGGGGCATGTGAAAAAACTGCCTTCTCCACGGATAGGGGCCATTGGCAGTTCAAGGTGCTGTGCTTCGGGCTTTGTAATGCTCCTGCCACCTTTGAGAGGCTCATGGACAGAGTGCTGGCGGGGGTTCCGAGAGACAAGTGTGTTGTGTACCTAGACGACATATTGGTGCACGGCACATCGTTTGAGGGGGCACTGGGGGCACTTAGGCGAGAGCTGGAGAGGATCTCGGGGGCGGGGCTAAAATTACACCCGGAAAAGTGCCATTTCATGCAAAGGGAGGTGGCGTTCCTGGGTCATCAGCTGGGTGGTGAGGGCATCGGCACGAGTGGAGGCTGTGAGGGGGTGGCCAGTTCCAAGGGGGAAAAAATAGGTTAAGAGCTTCCTGGGTCTGGCATCCTACTATCGTAGGTTTGTGAAAGGGTTTGCGGGGATAGCAGCTCCTTTGAACCACCTTCTCAAGAAGGACACTGTTTTTCAGTGGACCGAAGAGCACCAGCGGGCGTTTGAGGCCCTCAAACGTGCCCTGGTGGAGGCCCCTGTCCTGTCCTCACCAGACCCGAACCGTCCGTTTATCCTGGACACAGACGCTACCAATGAGGGCTTGGGGGCTGTGCTGGCTCAGCGTGGTTCTGACGGGGAGCACATAGTAGCTTATTACAGCAGAACTTTTGATAAGGCTGAAAAACGCTACTGCGTGACAAGGAGAGCTTTTGGCTGTCGTGGCAGCAGTACGCCATTTCAAGTACTACCTGGGGGGCCTGCCGTTTGTGGTGCGGACGGATCACTCCGCCTTGCAGTGGCTTCTCTCCTTCAAGGAGCCAGAGGGTCAGATCGGCCGCTGGTTGGAGGAGCTGCAACCC